CCAGTGCCAAGGAGAAGCAGTGGGCTGAACACACCCTCGATTTCCCAGTTTTTTGGCCCAAACCAGTGGTACAGCCCCAATCCCGCCGGCCTTGCAGGCATCTCTTGGGCAAGTCTGACCTTCCTGATGCTGCTCCGGGTTAGAAACCTGGCTCCTTGCCACCCGAAGGAGGATCAGGGCTCTCAGACACTTCTGGCAATAGATGCATCATGTTTGGGGGAATTTGGGTGACAGCAGGAACCTGGGGCCACGCCAAGGGCCCCTTTGCGCTGGTCAGGGGGAACGACGGTGCTTTTCGTTCGTAAGTGTCTGGCTAACGATCCCGGACCCCAGCTCAGGATGCTCCGACGCGCGTTCATCCTTGCTCCAGGCAAAGGCTGGGAACATTCGCTGCGAGCGTTTTCTGATGTAGGACCCTGGCTTTCATCTCTCCCCTGTGAACAAAGCCAAGTTTCTGCCTAATATACTGAAAATATTGGCTGAATAATCAGAGGGAAATCTCAGAGAAAGCCTTTACAGGACCCTGAGGCTACCAGAGCAAACCTTCTCTCGATTACGAGAGGCGATGTTTAACCTTTACGCATACGGCCGCCTCCCCACGGCATGCTCCTGCCCACTCTTGGCCCCCTCAATCCTTAGATCTCATCTAATTAGAAAATTACTTATGGAAACATCTGAACTCACCTTGTAAAGACTGAAAATAAGGCTACAAAAATACACATGCAGGGGAACCGGAGTTTTTACAAATCTGGGTCTATAAATAGCATTTCAATATTAATTAATTCAATGCAGTCAGAGGAAAATTAATTTATGCAATTAAAAATTAATAGATTAAAAGCCATTTTTTAAAACCGCTGTCCTGTTGTGAGTAATCCTGTGCTCTGCTGTGTGATTTCAATGCTTTCAAAATGAGGAGACTTTTCAAATCACTAGGCTTTATGTAAAGTAAAGGAGTAATTAGATACCAAAAACAATAATTATCTCAATGAGAGACAGAGAAAGCAGGCAAGTGTAAATACACTTCCCAGGGTAAATGCAGACCCACGAAAGGAATTGTTATGCACAAGCCAAACCACGGGGCAGCCAAGCACAGCTCCATGTCAAAACCGCTGAGTTTCTGCACACCAAAGACAGCCCAGACCCTGATCTGTCTCGTTACCGTCTCTGTGATAAAGGTTAATCAAGCACAAAGCAACACATGAGCTTTTGGGAATTCGTTTTCAGCTCCGGGTGCGTAACACCCAAGCCAGGCAGAGGGCTGGTGTCCATTTTCCTGTTGGTGTAAAACGATGCGGGTTTCTGGGAAGTGATGTGAAGCCCCTCCCGGCAAGCAGGCGCTGGGAAGGCCAGGAGAGCCCTCACTCGTACCCATGCTCACGACCTGTAGAGACGTTACAAAATCATAAAAATGTGGCCAAAAAAAAAAAAAAAAGCAGGTGCAGAAGAGATAACTAGCAAAGATGCTTCTGCGGAGACCGGGTGCAGAGAGGGGACCACCCCAGCGGGGAGAGGTGCGGAGGCAGCACGCGAGCTGCCCACCCAGCTGCTCTGGAACAGGACCTTCCCCGGTGCCTCCATTTCACCTCCTGCACCGTCTGGCCACAGCACTCACATACGCAAGAGGAGGTTTTGTGCTGCTTGAGCAATGAGCAAACATGAATTAATGATACCTTCTGATAAGCAGAATTTGTTGACATGATGCTAAAGACAATTTGGACCGGGCTCTGCTCACCCCGGACTTGTGTTCACAGGGCTGAAGCGCTCGGGCACTACGTGGTGCTGGAGCACAGGAAGGCTGTGGGCGTTTGTGGGCAGATACCAAGCCCACATCTGCGTATTATTACGTATTTTGAAACTTCGTCTTGCACACAATCTCTGTAACCTTATCTTTATAGAAGCTAATTTAAAAAAAAAAAATAAATTGAAAAAATAGACTTAAGCCAAGGTAAAGAGCCAGGCTAGCACGAATCCCCTGCTCCAGCAGGCGCTCGAGCCCTGCATGAATGGCTGAAGGTCAGAAGCAATAAGTAACGTCTTTCCTCGTGACCCCCACAAATACATTGTGAAGGTGCCCAAACCCGGATTTTCACTTCTGTGCTGCTCTGATCTGCGCTCACAGCTGGCATGAAAAGAGTAGCATTTTCCAGCACAGATGGACTGCTGTTGAAATATCAGCTAGCAGCAGGTACCTGAGTTGTCTTAATCCTACCTAAATCCTAAATCAACTGGGCCTACCTTTCTATTAATCTTCCTGTCCTATCAGATGGTGAATTTTCCCCCCAGCACCAGCCATTAGGTGAGACGCGACAGACGGCAGCTTACCATCCCCCCTCCAAGGTTCAGCATCAAAAGGATTTTCAAAGGAATAAGACATTTAAAGCAGGTCAAAAATTGCACGTTTTAAAACAGTAAGAAAGCACTTTTGACAGAATTCAATTGTTTTTAACTGTAAATCACCAAACAATAACGCTACACCACAACCCATGGCAAAGAGCATCACGGGGGATCTGCTCAGGAAGAAAGGGCAGATGTAGAGGAGGGACGCTGAAAGGGCTCTTGCAGAATAAGACCCTCAAAGCCCCGGTGCCGGCTCAGCCCTCCCGACGGGCTCCGGGTACGGAGCAGTGTCCCCCCCCCACGGCTGGAGCTCACAGGCCGCCCACCTCGTCCCTCAGCATCCTTTGCACAAAGGTCGGATCCCACCCTAAGCCAACAAATCATGGTGTACACAAACAGCCCCAAACACTTTCGCGCTATTATACTTTAATATCATTTATACCATTACTTCCCAGTAACGCCTCTCCTACACGGTCTAATGGCTTGAAGATGCCATTCCTTCCGAGGGAAAGGAAAGCAGGCAGCAATTCAGACCTCTGTGCTAACCATCACCAGCGGCTTACCAGCAACCTGGGTCTCCACGTTTCTGAGACAGGCAAGGAGAATGGGACATTTTTCTCTTTGCTGATGCAGAGGGCAGCCCAAGACTGCACTGCACAGAAGCAGCTCTCAGCCGTGGAAGCAAAAGGCTCTGAGGACAGTACCCCATATAGTTTCCTGCAAAGGCAGCGCTGCACAGGAGTTGACTTTGTAAAATTATTTGCCTGAAATTAAAATACGTGGCGCCAAGCGCACGCAGGACGTCGCTGGCAGACCTGGGGCAAGGAGCAGACCTCCCAGTCGGCAGCCGCTCCCCCATCAATACTGGATGCCAGCACGGAGACCACAGGAGTTGACTTTGTAAAATTATTTGCCTGAAATTAAAATACGTGGCGCCAAGCGCACGCAGGACGTCGCTGGCAGACCTGGGGCAAGGAGCAGACCTCCCAGTCGGCAGCCGCTCCCCCATCAATACTGCATGCCAGCAGGGAGACGAGGCTGCAGAGGCTCCTGCCAGGCCCAGCTAATAGGTGGTTTATTCGTATTTGATCAGTCAAGCAAGGAGCTGTAGAAGGGAAAAGGCTGCTAGAGCAGAGAGGCATTTAGAGGGAGGAGAGCTAAAGGAGCTGAGCACCCTGCACCAAAGGGACTTCCACTCCATGTTTTCCCTGAAAGCGGAGTTTTTCCAAGCACTGAAGGGGTTCCTTCAAAAGAACAGGTTTACTGTAAAGCAGAGGAAAAGCAGATGTGTCCAAGGTTATTAAGGGCAGTGGGGCAGAGGAAGGCTCAGTTAAATACATGGAGCATCTCTGGACTCTGAGTTGTGATCCAGGATGATGGATTAAAAGAGCATGCAATGTCCCCACCTTCATCACTGGGTATAAATATCAGTCCGTATCAGCCATGTAAATCAGATTTAACATCGGATTCACAGTTTTCTGTAAAACACCAGTGCCCAACTAGGGCACAGCAGCTAACAGGCACGCAGGAGGTGGAAACATATGAATAAGCCCATGCCTTAAGGACCTGAACCACCGCAGAGAGACTCAGACATAGCTGTGACCCTGCCAGTCCCAACAGTGGCAAAGAGAGATAGAGAAATCCAGGGAGATACGTCCCTGTCCCCGAGTCTACATGGTCACTGCTGCCTGTGCATCCTCTTTTGGGAAGGGCAGAGAGACCACAGACAGAGAGATGCAGCAAACCAACGTGCTCGGGGTCATACAGAGAAGCCCGAGCACCACAACCTGCAGGCTCGTGCCCTCACGCTGCTTCACCAGGAACCCTGTATGCAGCAGGCAACGAAACCCACTCTGTGGCTCAGACCGCACCCCAGCACTGGCACAGGCATTACATGGACAGATGTCACCACAAAGATGACTGGACCAAGAAGTAGTCAAGTAGTCTGTCTTTTTTGACAAATAGCTTTCAGATTACTCATGCCTCCACCTCAGTTTCACTGCTGGCAGCTTATCTCCCCCTACAGCCTCGTGCTCCCAGCACACACAGCATCTCTCTCACTAGCAGAACCCATCTTAAAGCAAGGCAGAGACGAGAGAGAGCAGCCAGGTTCTCCTCCTTGCAGAACTCCTCTCCACCCACGTCAGCGGCCGCACGCGAGCCAGGCTCCAGCCTTCCACCGCTTTACCTTGGAGAGAAACTGTTGACTGAAATACAGCTCCATTGCCAATTCAGACAGACTATGGTGCTGAGCTAGATGTTGAAATAAAGTTTAGATTAAAAAAAAAAAGCGATCTGTTCAGCTTAAGAAGGGAGGGAAAAAACCAACAGAAAGACTGACCCCTGGGATAACAAACAGACAGTATTGCAACGCAGTTAAATCCGTGAGCTAGATGCGTGGTGTTTCTACCCCTGCAAGTCAGAGCGAGACAAGCCGTCTGAGAGTTATCCTTTCACAGCAGTGGTTTGACACGTGCCAAATCTGAGGAGACGCCATCCTCTAAGCAGACAGAGAAATGGTACCTCCGCGCTGCGGGCAGGACGAGCAGCGCCCGCACGTGTGCGTGTGCACCCACGAGCACAAGCGGGAGAGACTGTGCAAGAGAGAACCGGCGTGTGGGAGAGCGGGAGGGGAGAAACACGCTTAACGCAGCCACACTTACAGCCTTTGGCTTGAAGGGAGGCTGGATCTCCTTGCGCTCCAGCTTGTCCCAGTCGATGTAGCGGAAGAACGCGTGCTCCTTGATGTCCCGCTCCCCTTCTGGGCCACATCCCAGTCGCTTGGCAGGGTGCTTGGTCATCAGCTTGGGGAGAGGAAGAGAAGAAACAGTCACAGGGTGGCCAACTGCTTCACAAAATGTCCACTTTGAGAAGTCCCCAGGGTGCTGCGATGCCCAGCTGGGCAGCCTGCACCATGCGGCCGCTGCCCCAGGATGCCCCACATCTGTGCCTGGACCCCAAGAGGGGCTCCCACCTCCTCTCCCAGCTTTTGGTGCTTGAAGCAAAGGACAGAGGGAGAAGCAGGAGCAGCTCCAGGGATGGGGAAGGTTGACAATGGCTTACGACAGCAGACTAAGCAGATCACAGGTACATGAACACTGGGTGGGATAAGCACATCCCCTTTTCCTCTGGGAATGAAATTGGGTCACTAAGAAATAATGTCAGGGTGCTGGTAGAGCTCCCCACACCACTGCAGTCTCACCAGCCTGCTACAATGGGGGGAGCAGGATGTGTGCAAAACTGCTTAGCAGTCCTTTTGCTTGGTAGCAAACTTCTCAGCATCTGCCTAACTAATTTTAAAGGCCGCTGCCCATTTAAGATGAACAATCTACCCTCAGAAACTTTCATTAGCTCTAGAAGCAGAACCCCCACTTCTCTGGAGCCACAGCAGCACAGACAAGAGGCACATTTCCAATGAAAGAGTCAGTTCGGAGAAAAAAAACGCAAACAGTCCATTTATGTTGTTTATCATCTAAACTTCTCCCCTTCACTGGCTCAATAAGAAAAGTGAAATGGGCCACGGGAATTAAGGGCGGCTGTACAAACATTAATATCCTGGGGGCATTGTTTGAGCTGTGTTCAGAGATCTGATGGAGATTCCAGAGATTTGTAAGACGTTGATAAGCACGGAGAATATGAGCCGTACACCTGCAACAAAAGGACTACTTTATTAAAAGCAGGACAGTTAAAACTGATCCCAGAGCTGTGCAGAGGTTGCAGCAAGCCTGACTCCAGCTCTTGAGGCCGTGGGTCTGCAAAAGACCCCCGCTGCCCTCCCGCGAGCCCCCGGGAGGGACAGGGCACCCGCAGCTCTGCAGGGAGGCACTCATGCTCCCGGAGAGCCGAGAAACCTCCTGTCGTGGTTTCTGTTGAGACTGACCCACCCCCGAAAGAAAAGGTTTTTATAAGCAAGCATCTTCTGACAAAAAGAAACACATCAGCCCAAGCACCCTGGGTGGCAGGCAGCCCGCCGTGCCACAGGGAGCTAATTAGCCCCTGCCAGGTCCCGCATCCAGGCAGAGCTCCTCTCGCCCAAGGTGTAAGTGTTTTGACACAAGTCAGCCCTGCCATCCATGATTGCACAAAACAAACTTGCTCAGAGAAGCTGATCTTTAAAAGTAATGCTACAACAGGGAGCTGAAAGCAAGGAAAAGCCTGCAAAAAACCCCCAAACCCTAAAAGAGAAAAAAAAACCCAACGAATGTGAAGTAAGAGCGGAGCTGCTAACCACTCTGCTAGCAAATGGCACTACATCCACGCCCAGCCAGCTGCGAAGGCAACCTGCAGCTGAAAGACTGATGGAGCGGGGCTTCCTTGAACCAGCATCACCCCCTGGAAAGTCCATCTGCAAACAGCAAGGGCCCACCAGGCTTCGCAAGCTGGACAAGTGATTTTCCAGATGGTGAGGCCTGCCTCTCCTCCAGGCAAGGATGTGACTGGCATCAGCATCAGTCTTGCAGAGCCTGTCCCCACACGAGGAGACATGCTGGAGCCCCTGCTGGTGGGCTGGAGAGGGAGGACCATGGGGGTGCGAGGTGGCAGCAAAAACAAAAGCAAGATTTTTTTTCTAAGTCGTTTTACTTTTTTTTGTAAATAATACAGTTTCCCTTGGTATTGCAGCATGCAGACCTCTATTAAAAAAAAAACCAACCCAAAACCCCCACAAATTCCAGTGTAAGAAGCCTGGCAAGGTGGAAGACGTTACATGTCTTGGTCTCTTGAATGAGCGCGGCAGCAGCACAGACAAGCAGGTGGGGCTGGATCCAGCACCGCTGTCCCCTGGGGCAGATGGCCCTGTCAGGCAGGGAGCCCCACCGCAGGCTTATGGTCCTCCCGCTGCCAAGGCAGCACGGCGAGGCGGGCGACCTGCCAGCCCCTTGGTGCCGCTGGGCGGCTTTCACATCACCCTCGGCACACGGACAGGCATCTGTCCGCTCCGGCTGTGGTCCGTCCGCCCCGGCAGCAGGCAGGGCGAAGCTGTGCCCCATTGAACCTCACCGTCCCAGGGCTTTCACTACGTCCACTTCAAGCTGACTTGGGTTCAGCTAAACAAGAGGATCTCTGCATCTCCTTGGCAGGCTCCGGACAGCATCCTGACAATTCAATCAGGTCCCGCTTAAGCTGTGCTAAAGCAGGAGAATAAAAAGCATCCTGTGACTCAATAAGGTTTTCCTAAAGCAAGTCCCCGACAACAATGTGAGAGCCTGAAATGTGCTAATAAACTGATTTAGTGATTTGGCTGTCGCATCAAATAGCTTAGTTTGCTTTCAGCAAACATGAAAAGAAATCTGTTCGTGAGCCTTTTCTGTTAAGTGCTGATCCTGAACACACTGACACACCTCTAGCTTTTACTGCCAGAGATCACTTGGGGCAAGGAGGGAAAGCAGGTCTGTGTCTGCAGGATCTGTGCCTCCGTTGACACTAAAGCTCACAGATGCCTGTGCATAAAATTCAGCTGTGAAAGCATCTGACTGAGAGCTGGACCGATGTGTGGTCACTCATCTGCAAAGGAGGTCTTAGCAAGGGGGTAGGCTGCAGCCCCGTGGAGGCTTTGAAGGCCGGCGGTGCCGGTGAGCAGGCAGCTCGCTGCCCCGTCCCCAACGTGCCCCAGTTCCCTTCCTGGCTCCGGCTCCCTCCCGGAGGCCAGCAACGCTGCCGAGGCTGCGCCGTGCCGGGGCTCCCCCCGCGCAGACCCTCCCCTGCGGGAGAGTCCGATTCCCTCACGTGCACCCAGTGAAAACATCTGAAACACTGCTCGCATCTGCTGACCCCCAGCCACCACGCTGCCCTGCAGACACTTCCTACACACACCCCACTACATCCAGTCTATGCTCTTTTACTAATTAGCTTTTCCAGCCAGAGCCCAGGTTCGTACCTGCTGGAAACTGTTTTACACACACCCGCCCCACAAATTGAAGTGTCGTGGTTAAACCCTCCGCTTCCTCAGCGTAACACAAATCCACACCAAATTCAGAGCAGCTCAACCGACTAATGAATCATAAAAGATTTTCTGCTTCATGTACCTGCCTGTAAAGCTGAACAGAGTTGTACTACAGTGCAGTTATTCAGTATTTTCAATGTATGCATCCAGAAATTAAATTTCCTTGTTTTCCTATTGTGCTTTTATGCATGTAGCATGAAGGCACCATCTGTTATTGATATATAGGACCCCATAAACATGCAGATTGATTCTCCTGGCTTACATAGGATAATCATTTAGCTTTGTTTGTATTAAACAGGAACAAGTTGATTTAATCCCCATACTAATGCAGTGAAAACCCTTCAGCCTTCTGCAGATAAGGAAGGATGCTTTAGACCAAATCACCTGTAATGGCACATCTGATGTTTGGAGCTCAGATACAGCAAAGTCCAAGCCTGGACTCAACTGCTTTGCTAAGCTGCAGCTTTGTTTTTCGTCCCTGGAAGGCAAGAGGATGCTGCGTGTTCGTGGACTTCATTTAACAGCGGCACATTTTGCACCAAGAGGCAAATCTGATCCAGATGATCTTTGTCCACGTTTGACAGATCTTTGTCCACGGCTTACAGGCAGCAGCCACCGCCAGGACCTTCCCATCAGGGCACGGATCCCTCCGCCGTCCCGGCACACAGCCCGGGTACGCTTCTGTGCGGCACAGCCGTGCCACCGCAGCACATCCCGGCCCCATCCCAACCGCAGGCCGGCACTTCAGCCGGAGTCAGAGGCAGCAAACCCCTCTGCAGCCAGGAGTGCTCGCCATGCGCCGCCCCAAAACGCTCCCACCTTCCAGCTGCCCTTTGCATACCCACGGCCACCAAGACAGGGGCACACCCGCACCTCCGAGAGGGCTGCAGCGCGGCACCAAGCAGCTATTATGTGCTTTTCCCAGGCAGCACCACCAGTGGAAATACCACTCAAAATACCTGCAAACTTTACTGTGGAAAACATGCCATTTTACGCCTTTGCTACCAGGCAGAGATTAAAGAGGGAGCTTATATTCGCAGGCAATCTGTTCACCTGGAAAGGGCTGCTTTGCTCAGGCACAGTCAAACCCCTCCATATGGGACGGAAGATGGCTGATGGTTTGTGCCAGTGGCCGTGTGCACGCACACGCACGCCGCTCCACGGGACTGAAACGGGAGCCTGGCTCCCGATAACCAAACCAGAGCTCAAGAGAGCAAAGCTAAGCTACCTGCACGACGGAAACAGCAGCTCCGACATCATCCTTCGAAAAAAATCCAAGTTGACAGCAGAGGAGGGAAATGCTCCATTTGATCTGCTAATTGATGCTGACTGTTGAGTCAAGGAGCTGTGTTCTGGTTAACTCTCCATTTTGCTTCCCAGCCAACTATCTCTGATTAACGCTTGTTTCTTGGCTCGGGCCGATACAAGGCTTTCAGGATCAAATGCTTTTCATCTCCGAGCTGTGCAACAGTAGGTGATGACTGGCACCGGCATGCCGGAGTGAAACGGCGTGGGAACAACAAAATTGTTTTGGAGAGCATGGCAGTGAAATACCAAACCCTTCACGTTTAGGAGTAGAGGCTTCTCCAACTGCTTGTTCTCTGGACTGATGTAAGGCTGGTTTTGTGCCCTCCTGGAAGACCTACCACGCACCAACACAAAGAGCATGGCTCCAATGCCTCCATGGTTAATTGAGACGTATTTTACTGTATTCCAGGGGAAAATGTAAATACTTTGTTTCCAGCTTACTGACGGTTCGTAAATACCACACATATTTTTAATTAAACTTTCTGGTCTAGCAGTTTGGTGGCAGCAAAGAATATCAGGAGCTTTTGTGCACTTCTCTGAAACAACAGCTGTACAAAGGGAACCACCACTTTGGTGCAAAAAATATACAAGAATTTATAAAGAACCAAGCTCTCCATGCATGGCTAAATGTCCTCCCATGCAGCCTCACATTTCCAAAAGTGAGAAAAGCCATTACAGCTACACCCAGCAGACGTTTCAGTCATGGTCTCTTCTCGTCTATTTACAGCATTCACATTTTGACTGATGCAACAGCAGACAAAGCCAACAGCGAGATTTCGTCCCTGTTCCAGCCTCCGCTCCCTCGCAAGTGCCGTTCCCTCGGGCACCCGTGGGGATAACGGTGTTCAGCATCACAAAGCATCTTCCCTCCCTCCTGCCCGGCCAGGCACACAGTGGACTTTCCCCTTATGCCCCAACCAACAACAGCAAGAGGAATGAGAGAGGGTGAGAAAGTTGGTGGAAACTCCCGCTTCGATCACCGGTGTGGTTTCTGAATTAAGGACTCAATTTTACTACGTTCTGCTGAAGGTGGGTGCCAGGTGGCCCGGACAGCATCCCCTCCCTGTGCCCCGCTGCGGGTGGGGAACACCTGCAGCAGCTTTTCCCCACGGGACAAGCGAATACTGCTCTTTTAACACCAGCTCTGAATCCTGGCAACACTGGAAAGAGGCTTTGAAATGCCGCAGTGGGAGCGTTAAGCACAAGATGTGTCATTTGTAGATAGAAACACTATTTTGAGATATAGAACATTCAGATATTTTAAATATTAACTATTAAAAGCAAACACTTTTTAAGTTCCTACACAAACACATATTTATAGCGCTGTTTGACACTGGCTGGCTGAGACGAGGCTCAGTCCCAAGCAATAACCATATGCATAGCATCAGGACCCAGCCAGCCTTTATTCATCACAATCCAAATTAATTCAGACTGCATTTAAGTCTTGCCTAGGCCCAGTCCCTAGAGAGCTCCGGACACTGGACAATGCAGAGCTTCACTGCAATTTAAGAGATACGATAATGAAAATACTGCTCTGACCCAACAGAGACCCACACCAGACCCAACTTCAGGTGCCCCTAAAAAGGGTGACTCATCGTAGCTAAATGGAAACCTCTGCGGGATGAAGGCTTTGTATTTGATCTTAGGAAAGCTGTTTAGAAACGACATTCATTTTCTCTAGGCATCATTTTTCTTTTCAGGCAAAGATGCATAAAGCTTCCCTGTTGTCACCTAGTGGGGGAGGGTCTCTGGGCAGATGCCCTCAACTCCCACATCCCATCCAACACTCCAATTTTCTCCTGACCTTCACCTGCGCAAAGACAGACCAGCCCTCAGGTCCTACCTGTGTTTCTGCTCAGCGTAGCGTAACGGCACAGAAAGGATCTACGTGTTATTTTTAATTGGTTTTAGTACATACACATGAAGCAGCACAAGTTGTGGTTCTAGGAGCAGAGAGCAGGGGCACCAGGACACGATCAAGTTTTGTCAGATTCCCCTTGCGCTGGGAGCCTGGAGCCCGGACGAGGGCGAGGAGGGCAAGGAGGGTGTGCTGGTTTTGGCTGGGGTAGAGTTAATTTTCTTCACAGTAGCTAGTATGGGGCTACGTTTTGGATTTGTGCTGAAAACAGTGTTGATAACACAGGGATGTTTTCATTACTGCTGAGCAGTGCTGACACAGAGTCAAGGCCTTTTCTGCCTCTCACCCCACCCCACCAGCGAGCAGGCTGGGGGGGCACAAGAGGTTGGGAGGGGACACGGCCGGGACAGCTGGCCCCAACTGACCCAAGGGATATTCCACACCACAGGACGTCATGCTCAGCATATACAGCTGGGAGAAGGAGGAGGAAGGGGGGGATGTTCGGAGTGATGGCATTTGTCTTCCCAAGATGGAGCCCTGCTTTCCTGGGGATGGCTGAACACCTGCCTGCCCATGGGAAGGAGTGAAGGAATGCCTTGTTTTGCTTTGCTTGCGCACACGGCTTTTGCTTTACCTATTAAACTGTCTTTATCTCAACCCACGAGTTTTCTCACTTTTACCCTTCCAATTCTCTCCCCCATCCCACCGGGGGGGAGCGAGCGAGCGGCTGGGTGGGGTTTAGTTGCCGGCTGGGGTTAAACCACGACAGAGGGCAAGGAGAGGCTGGGGTACCCCACGAGTGTAGGACTGCTGGAGGTGCACAGACAGCACCGTGCCCACCGGCTGCACTTCTCCCAGAAATCAAAGGCCAGCCCTTACCCCTTTGCAGATTGCCACTGCCTCCTTGGACATGGACTTGGGGTAGGCTACGTTGTGCTCCATGATGGACTGGAAGAGCTCATCTTCATCTTCTCCCTCAAAGGGAGCCTAGAGCAAAGCAAAGAGAGGTTCAGCGGCATTTCTTCATCTTTGAGCTTCCATTTGCTGCTGTGATCCTCGGCCATGAAACCAGCCCCGGCTGCCCTTCCGGCTGTGCCGCGCGGTGACTCGTGTCTCAGCCTCGCAGTCCCCGGGGCTGCATCCGCAGCTTCATCTCCAGGACCGAGGAGATGGCCTCCCGCCGTGTGCCAGCAACAAAACAAATTACACGTCAGCATATGCTCACAACAGAATTTAACACAATCCCATAGGAATCAATTAAAATTCAATTACCTGGCCAGCTAACATTTCATAGAGCAGGACTCCAAATGCCCACCAATCCACAGACTTCCCATAGGGCTGATAAGCAATTATCTGAAAACAACACAAACAGCAGGATTACACTCCCATTTTTAACCTGTTGGCACAATGCAAACTATTTTCAAGCTGTAGTCCAGGTCGAAAGGACAAGGTTATTTACTGAGACACCAGTCCCTGAATGGTGGGAAACTGCAATTATAAACAGAACACACCATAGGCAAAGGGTTCAGTAACTTTAAAAAAATCATCAGCCTTCAAATGTGCACTAAATATTAGAAAAAACAGAATATTCACTGTGATTTCAGACAGATTCATTCTGATTCAGACCAAAATTTAGCATATTTGTTGTGCTCTTGCAGACTCATCAGAGCCAGGCGCGTTGGAGCAGGAGCAGCAGCCGTTCTTGCTTACCCTTGATGCACT